ATGTCCTGTCACATATAGTGCAGAATATTTGAACATTAAGTCTATGAGTGGCTTTTTCCACTTGGGTGAAGACCAGGGCAAACATTGATCCCCTCACAAAAAATAAATAAGTAATAGAAAAAAGTGAATATTAGATTAATACAATAGCCCATATTAAGATAAATGGCCGTCTACAAACACATCAATATCAAGTATAGGTAGTTGCAGCCAATGCAACGGATGACGACTGGAAGTATATGTGTCATGCAAAAGTCTTAAGTGGTCTAACTGAATCAAATGTAAACAATGTAACAAAGACATGAATCTTGGTTCAAACACGGCGTGTCTTTAATCTACTTTCCCCTCTGCAGAGAGAGCTGGTTCAGTGCCTCGAAACTGGCCTCATTTACCGCTGTGCCAAGCAATGTGTAGTGGCTCTTACAATGTGCACGGTGGAGATGCCTGACATCATGATCAAGCTACTTCCTGCTCTTATTGTCAAGCTCACCCACATCTCTGCCACTGTTGCCATGGCGTCTCCTATGCTTGAGTTCCTCTCCAGTGAGTACCAACAACTTTTTTTCCATTGTTTAATGGTCAAGGTCAGTTTGCCACGTCAGATTTTCTGTCACAGAACCAGCACAAAGTTGAGGTGAGTTTAATCTGTTCTTTCCTCAATTCTGTGTCATAGCTCTGGTGCGCCTGCCCCGTCTCTATGCCAACTTTGTAGCTGAGCAGTATGTCAGTGTGTTTGCAATCTCCCTACCATACACTAATCCCTCCAAGTAAGTGCACCCGCACACCCGCACACCCGCACACACGCACACACGCACACACGCACACACGCACACACGCACTCCTTTGTACATCTATCTTGAGGCATCATCCTAGCCTAAAATGAACTCTAACCTTACTTTAAAACAAAGTCCTAACCCTAAAAACAGCCGGTTAAAAGTTGGGCAGAAAGAGAAGACCGGCCAAAATGTCCTCACTTTCCCAAAATGTCCTCACTCTGTAGGTTGTAGGCTCAAATGGTCCTCACAAAGATTTCTGTACAAGTACACAAACACAAAAATAAAAAATGTTTTGGTCAGAAACATTAATACCTACTTGTTTTTTCTTTTTCAAATCCTGTCAGGTTCAACCAGTACATTGTGTCACTGGCCCACCATGTGATTGCTATGTGGTTCATACGCTGCAGACTTCCCTTCCGCAAAGACTTTGTTCAGTACATCACAAAGGTCAGTGCTGGTCTGTCTGTCTGTATTTTCTGACTTTCTTAAGACTTTCAATTTCAATCGGCCCTGGGGACAGCTTTGGCCTGAGGCATTATGTTTTCAGGTTGTCCGTCCATCGGTCTGTCAGTACGTCCCATTCCCATGAGCATGATATCTTATGAACGCCTCGAGGGAATTTCTTAAAATGTGGTGCAAATATTCACTTAGACTCAAGGAAGAACTAGATTTAGATTTTGGTGGTCAAAGGTCAAGTTTGACCTGTTTCATAGAATGAAGCATAATCTTCTATAGTCTTTATAACCCAGTCTGTGTTCACATGAGCCTCATACCTAGATTTTGTCCTTTTTTTAGATTTGCTGCAGATTCTGTGTCAAGTCTACCTACAGTTATTTGGATCCCTTTTTACATTCACCTCTTTGTCCCCAGGGTTTGCGTTCCAACGCCCTGCTGCCATTTGATGACGGACATGAGCAGAGTCCATTTCGTGCCCGAAGCACCAGCCTCAATGAAAGACCCAAGAGGTAAAACTTACATTTAAACATACACACAAAGCTGCAAGTGCTGACGTACAAACCAGCAGCACCACAAACTGCCCATGTGGCCATTGTTGTGTAAGAGGGTTGGTGTTGCCAAGGTAACAGGGGACTCAGCATGACTGTTACTGTGGCACGATGGTTGCAATGACTCCTCTCAGGTTGCCAGGGTGGTCATTAATTCATTTTGTTTATTGTTTATGCTTTGTCACATTTTGAAATGTGTTCAATTTCTGCCACAATTTGAGTTTATTTATATTTTTGATTTTATTTCTTCTCATTTTAATAACATACAATAACAACAATCTCATTTCTCATCAAATGAGAAATTCTGATTAACCTCTGGTCGTATTTGAGGCTGTAGAATTTATTTCGTTTTTATTGTTTTGTAGTGGATTGTTTTATATCGTCCAGGTGTTTGTTCTACTGTGCCTGCCCATGGCTCGCCCCTGAGTCCCTGGTGAGCCACAGACTGATGATCAGATTTCTAACGTATCCGCAGTCAGCAACAACTCCAGACAATTCCAGCCAATCAGAGCGCAGTATGGGATCAAGGTGGTGAAGGTATATGAAGTGGTGAGGTGCCCCCTGATTTTCTTTCATCAGGGACAGGATAACACAAACTCAGTACAGCCCTCAGCTGCAGAAAGAGTGGTGCGTGTGCGTCCTCACCCTATGTCACAGTAGCAGTAAGGGCAGAACCTCATGGCCACGTCTTTGCTGGGGTTTCCGAGACGATGAAGAGAGTCTGCTCGCATCATCAGGAAGAAGTCAGGTTGTTTAGGGTAGTACAGTTAAAAATACTCTGCCTTTGCTACAGACGTGGAGGAAACCATAAGGTGTTTCTCAGCAGCTTGTCTCATCTGTACATGTGAATGTTTGTCAGCTTTCTGTGTCTAAATCGGTTTACATTGTATGGTATAATCACCTAAAGTATCTAATTAAAACATAACATGGGTGATCACAGAGAGAAGGGGCAGATGGTGGCTGTTAAGTTGCCACCTGAAAAGAAAATGAGCTTCGGAAAAATTACCTTGTTTTTCCAAGAAAACAGTTCTTATCTAATTCTCCTGACTAATCCCCATATTATTTTCTGTCTTCGAGATTGATAGTAGCTTATTAACTCTCCTCCTCCTCCGTTGTTCGGTCAAATACATTTGAGGAAATATTAGTGCAGCCTCTGTTCACGTCTTCTTTAAAATCCTTTAAAAACATTTTGGGTCCCATCACTTTCCAAAAACCTCATAATGCCCTTGCTGCTGTTGCAATCCAGCACACTCCCTGTTACAGCAGTACCTTTGCTAATATCAGTGTCTGCTGATCCTTTGTATCCAACCCACTGTCAGTGTTATATTGTGTTATCATTTGTTCACCCAGTGACCCTGTCCTTGTGCTGCTCATTGTCTACTGCTGGGTTGGAGCTCTGCATGTCAGAGTCCTAATGGAATGAAAGGCTTTTTCATATTGATATCGCTACTGGTTTTATGATTACATTTGGAAGTCTTGAAAAGTTTCTAGAAGGATCAACTTTTTCCTAAGTGTAGTATTTTGTAGATTTATTGAGTCCTGTCTTGCTTTGCTCCAACCCCCAGGTTAAACCTAACATTCCATTTTCAGTTGGATTTGTTGTTTTTTCACCTCCATGATGTCAGGCCTGTGCTGAGTCCATCCCTACTGTTTTACTTCTCCTGTACGAGTCCTTGGCTTCACTATGTACCTGCTCTGTGAAATAATGTTTATTTCGTTGCTCTCCTGAATACTTTTTGTTCGTATTTTCTTTTTCTGAACAACAGAAGCTATTTCACCCTGCTGTAGCTTTGTCTGTTTCCTTTCGTTTGATGTTTTCTCTTTTTCTTACTTCGCTCTCCTGTAATCTGAATCATAGTGTTCACTGCTGTTAATTTTCACCTTGTTTTGTTTTTCTTTTCTTTCAATTCTTCATTTGACCCCCCCTCCCCTGCTGCCTGCGATTGGGTGCTTCGTTGTGGTTGTGGTTTTGGGGGGTGGTCGTGTCACCCTGGATCCTTCCTAATTTGCTCCTGACCCCTCCCCTCCCCTCCCCTCCCCTTCCCTCCCTGTGGTGTGTTCCCCTCTGCGTTCCTGCTCATGTTGCTCTGGTGACGATTCCTGCTGTCTCCTCCTCACGCCAAACCCCCCCTACACTCCCCATACCACTGCCACTCTCATGATGACCCACACCCTAAACGCCACCGCATTGCCACCCGGGCCCCATTCCCTTTTCCCTGGCCATGGGTACTCATCACCGCCCAGTCTGCGGGCGGCAAAAGTGGCGAAGGCAGCAGCGGCGGTAGCCAATAGCAGCAGCTCTCCTGTTAAAGAGCTGAGGGACCTGTCAGCCATGGACGCGTTCCGCTCCCGCAGCATCAGTGTCTCCGAACATGCGGTCCGCAGGTTAGAGAAGAGCCTTCTGGGTAACAAAAAACAACAGCAACCCAAACACTTGTTGCTTCCTCCATGGGATGGTTGAGGGTGTAGGTTCATTGTCATGTGAGTCCGTTGGGGCGGGCTTTGGGTGGTTTGTTGCCAGGGACACCTGGAGCGGGTGGTGCATGCTGGAGGAAGATTTGTGTGTTGACTTTTTGGTTTGTTTTGGGCTGCGATCATACACCTGTTGTGCATACGTTTTGTTTTGTGATTTACTTTTGCATGTGTTCGCAGAAGACATCGGAAAACATCTTGATCCATGTTGATGCTTTGCTATTTGATTTTGCTCTAACACAGATTTTGATTTGATTTTAATTTCATTTTTTGTTTGGTTTTCTTGTTTGTTTGTTTTGCTGGGTGATTTGCTGTTTAATTGGCCTAACAACAAAATGAATGGCAGGAGGGCCGGTGCAAAGCATATGTATCTGGGATGTTGATTGACAACAACTACATCCAACAACTCTGCCTCTCTATTCCTGGTGGGAGGGCACGGCAACAGCACAACAGCTTTCTTTGCTTGCTTGACAATTTTTTTTTGTTTTGTTTTGCTCCACTCACAAACACACTGTGCTGCACTGACCATGGCAATCTCCTTGCGTGGGATTTAAGGATTCGCTGGGCTAATGTCAACTTTGAATACAGTTTGATTACAGACTCAAACCATTCAGATCCACACACACACACACACACACACACACACACACACACACACACACACATACATGCATACATACATGCACATACACACTTTCATTGCCTCACTTACCTTAATTTCTTTACGCTTATCTTTGCTGCTTGAGCGATTGACAGATGTGCGATCAGTCACTGCAGTTGGCTGATGTTCCTCCAGCGCCTCACTCTTAAATAT